AGGCACTCACCGCTCTGGGTGGGTCGCCTTAGTTTAGGAGCTTAAGACTGTAGTTGAGCACTGGTCCTAGCATACAGCGGGGCAGGGTTGGGGAGGGGTGCTGGGTCGTGCGAAAGCTATTTGTATGTTTTTGAGACAAGTTTTCTCTCTGGAGCTCATTGCGATCTTCTTGTCTCTGCCAATCACGTGTGCACCACCACACTCAACTCTTATGCTCATGTTTAAACTGGATCTTTTTATTGTCTTGTAAGAGTTCTTGATAAATTCTGGATGTCATATCCTTATCAAACACAAGTTATAAATATTTTTAATATTGGACTGGAAAGATGGCTCAGAAATTAAGACCAGTGGCTGCTCTTCCAAAGGACCAAGGATCAATTCCCAGCACACATGTAGAGGGTGACGCCTGCCTGTAACTCCACTTCCAGGGCATCAGCTGCCCTGGCTTGATCTCCCTGGACACTGCACACATGTGGTGCAAAGATATATAATGAAATTTATAAATAATAAAATGAAATTTAAGATAGTTTTCCATATTTATGACTTCTTTTCACTTTATTAGCAATGTTCTGTCTGCATAAAAGTGTTTCAGCATTTATGTGTTAACTATGAGATTTTTTCAATAACCACAGAATCATCACACTTTAAAAAATTTCAAGCTGTATTTCCTTAGTATCTTCAAATACTTACATTTATATGAAAAGTTGTAATTGTTTAAACTAGCAGCTGCTTTTCCTGGCTTAGATTTCTTGGGTTTTTTTTTTTTGTTTGTTTGTTTTTTTTAACAAGGTCTCCCTCAGTTGCCCTAGCTGTCCTGGGATTTACTATATAGATAGGTTGGTCTTGAACTCACAAAGATTTACCTTCCTCTGCCTCTAAAGTGCTGGGATTAAAAGCATGCACTACCATACATGACAAGTAAAACAAACATCCAAACCTTTAACAGCTACTTTTTAAAATTGATGTTCATATAAGTAACATCCATTGCAATCTCAATCTGCTGATGTGTGCGTAAAGGATTTTAAGTCTGTACGTTTCTTTTCCATTATCTTTTCTTCCTCCCAAGCCATTTGTTTGTGAAGAAATTATTTGTCTAGGACTGGAGTGATGGTTCAGAGATTAAGAGCACTGGCTGTTCTTCCAGAAGTCCTGAGTTCAATCCCCATCAACCACATGGTGGCTCACAACCATCTGTAATGAGATCTGGTGCCCTCTTCTGGCCTGAAAGCATACATGCAGGCAGATATTGTACACACAATAAAAAAAATAAATCTTTTTTTTTTTTAAAGAAACTATTTGTCTAAATAGGTTTCCTAGTCTAGGCTGCATCCTGTGTCCCTCAGTCCTCCAGTTTCCCATGAGGTAGGTGGTTGGCACTCAAGGTTGGGGCAGATTTAAGTTTGTGGGGTTTGTTTGTTGTTTCAGCAGTGCTGACTCATAGACAGTTCTGCGTTCTCTTCTTATGAGACAAGCCGTATTTATTTCTTACATTTTCAAGTTAGCTATCATGGATGATCGACTCCCAGTGTGTTAGTTTCTTAGGAGGTATAAAATAGTGACATTCTAATCCTCTTCTACCTTTCTAATTGTCAGGTAGAATACTTATCTTTATGAATAAACATTTTCTACATTTTGTTATTTAAGTATCCAGTATTATAGTTATATAAGAAAGCCAGGATAGGGCTGGAGATGGCTCAGTAGGCATGAATACCTGCTGTGCAGGAGTGAGGACCCGAGTTCAGGTCTCCAGCGCTCACATAGGAACAGGCTTGCAGAGCTGAAAGGTAAGAGTACCATTGGGCTGTCTTCTGGACGTGAGATTGCCCTTGCAATCACAAACACATAGTAGCCAAAACTCCCCTAAGAAATAGGGGAGGAGGAAATGGACAGAACACAGGGGTAGGAGTGGGAATGGTTGTGAAGACAAATGGAGAGTAGAGAGAAGGTCGCTGGGGTGAGTGTAATCACAACACAGTGTATATAGATATGAAATTAACTCTTTTATTAAAAGTTTGAGCAGCCTTGTGAGGAATCAGTTGATAAAGGGAAATAAATAATAGGGGACACAAAGTTAGGCATGGCCGAGCACATATAATCGCAGTGCTGGGGGCAGGACAGAAAGGCTGATCCCTTGGGCTTGCTGTCCCAGCCTAACAAAAGACTGGGGAGCTCCAGGTTCAGGGAGTGACCCTGTCTCTCAGGGGACAGGGCAAGAGCTACAGAAGAGCACACTCGTGTCCTCCTCTAGCCTCCACACACGTCCTGTGGCGTGTACTCCATCAGGTGTACGTGTACACGAACAACAAAGCCAGGACAGCTCCTGGTTCTCACTTCACGAATCCGTTTGTCCTCTCACCTCTGTCTTTTCTTCTAATTGTGGCAGTTTTCTCTTTGCGAGTGGCTTCATTATCACATTCTGTGTTTCTAGGCAACACCATCGCTCTGGTGTGATTATTCATTATACCAATTATCTTTTCTCTGACCACTGCAAGCTTGTCAAATTGACCCCTGAATCCTTGATGTGATTCTGTGGTCTTTGTGAGCTGCCTGGCTATAACATACGAAAGAAGTTTAGCTCTTCCTGATTGGAATGTAGTTTGTTCTACACCTCCATACTTCCCATTTCCCTACAGAAGTTTCCTGTCAGCCTGGCTCTAGAAAAGATAACAAGAGTTTCCTATGAGAGCCAGCTTTGCTCCAACTGTCTGTCAGATCAGAGCAGGCTCTAGGAACTTGTGGGTGAAATTCATTTTGTGTGTTTTTGTTTGTTTTCTTTTGAACCAGGGTCTCATGTAGCCCAAGCTGGCCTCAAACACACCGTGGAAGAATAGAGCTAACCTTGAATATCTGCTCTTCCTTCCTCCACCTCCCAATGTGGGGTTCACAGTTGGTATTGAGGATCAACCCCAGAGCTTTGCACATGCTAGGCAAACACACTACATCTGAGCTGCATCCTCAGCACCATTTGTGAATTTTTTTGAGTCTACCAGGCATACAGAGAAAGAGGAACACAATTGTACAGTTTAATTTCTGCCTAAAGATTTTGCACCCAGTTGTGTAATTTTTCCCCCTTTTCCTCTCTCTCTGTCTCTCTGTCTCTCTCTGTCTCTCTCTCTCTCTCTCTCTCTCTTTCTGTGTGTGTGTGTGTCTCTCTGTCTCTGTGTGTGTGTGTTCACATGCATGTCTGTGTGCTGTCTGTTTTGCATGTGTGTGCATGTGTGCATCTGTGCATGTGAAAGGAATACAGCTGATATCAGATCATCCAGGATCTCTCTTAGACGTTATTCCCTGAGGCAGGATCTATCAGTCAAACACAGAGCTCACTGATGTGGCTGCTCTCACTAAGCAGCTCCATCTTCTGAGGCCAGATTTTCAGATGGGCAGCCAAAGGCATCCATATCATGTGGGTCCTGATTCCTGGGTCCACACACTCTTCCCAGTCAGATCTTTCACCTCTGAGCCCTCTCCCTGAGCTCCTGGAGGTGTCTTTTACGGAGCTAGTGACACAGAGCTGATACACACATATGGGCTCTATTATGTCTCTGCTTTGTTTCTCTCTCTCCTATCAAATTGGGGATTGATTACTAATTATTCTAAATTATTTGTAATTAATTACAAAAGCAATGTTCTTCTATCTAAGAGGGTTTTTGTTGAAGACTACATAAAAGAGAAAGGATGAAATGGAGCTGCTTTTTCTAAATCTGGGAACGAATGGGAAAGCCCGGATTCCGGATTCTAGTCTGCAGCAATGCTTACCCTCTGCCCGTTTTATAAAGTTGCTGAGTGCAGTAATGAGTTTATATTTATAGACTGCTTGGAGCTTTTTGGATGAAAGGTGCTAAATTAGAGTTTATTGTTTATTGAGTTTATTTGATGTGTCCAACTCCTGGGAACACTTACTGAAGTTAATTAAAACCAGATCGTCTGCCCTCTGACAGCTTACAGTGTCACATCTAAACCAATAACATAAACAGCCTGCACTAGCGTTGGCCTAACCGGGACTTCCTAGAGGACCGTGGCTTTTTGGATAGAGGAAGGCTCCTGCTGTGTTGACGCAGAGATGGCCTTAACTTCATCTGAGTTGTTGAGCTGCCCCTATTTCATAAAAACAAACAAAGAAGCAAGCCTTAGAATAAGGGGAATGTTCCTTATTTCTGGCGATAAATTATTGCTCAAAATAATTTGGTCAGCCAGATAGGTTAGTACACTTGCCACCATGTCTGATGACCTGAGTTTGGTATCTATGACCTCCATGGTAGAAGGAGACACTGACCCCCCTCAAGTGGTTCTATGTCTTAACAGATATGTGCATGCACACACATACATACTCATATACAAACACACACAACAAAACTAGAGTATAAAAACTTTTTTTTGCAGATTTTAATATACTTTAATCAAGATTCTTAAATGTCAACACACCATGAGATGTGGCTTTTGTTCCAATGAAACAAGGCTCTCTATGCGTGCTCAGTATACAGTATCGATACATTCTCAGCAGAACGATCTAGCTGAGCTGCCTCTTCCATAATGTCATGTTGAATGTGGCATTTCGCTGTTATTCAAGTCCTTCATTAAGTTGGATAAAACAATTAACTATTTAGCAAGTAAAAAAAAACAATCATTAAGTTTTCAAAGTTTATAAAGTTTATGCTAAGTTGTTTCTGAGTAAAAGGCTAGAAGGAACAGGGATGGGGAAGCTGTGCCTGGGGCATTTTGGATGAGAAAAGACTATTTTCAAAAGAAAAGTCTCAATGTTCACTAACATGTCCTCAATCAGCAATATCAAAAGTAACCTTTGCTCTCCGTGATTTCACAAAAGCTTAATAGAAAGGATGGTGATTTAAATACTGTTTTATGATTACTACATTTTCATTGCAGGACTGGCATTCAGAAACTACAGACCAGAGGGCAGTGTGTGTGTGCTTTCTAAACTCAACTTAGTGAGGGAGTGAAGGCAAGCATAACTGTAACACATGGCTGTTTCCTTCTCTTGCCAGTTGGTGATGGAGTTCTGTGGTGCTGGCTCCGTCACTGACCTGATCAAGAACACGAAGGGCAACACACTGAAAGAAGAGTGGATCGCATACATCTGCAGGGAGATCTTACGGGTAGGTGACAAGTGGGCACTGCCTTCCCCAGTTCCCTGAGGTAACATGGGATGTCTTGGGAGATAGTCTACTCGCTCAGTCTTGCTAGAAAAACTTCTAAGTGTGGTAGAAATGTATTTAATGGCTTTATTCTAACAGCTGGATGTGTACCCAGCCGCAGCCACTAACACTCTCTACTGTGCACATTCACTGTGTTCCCCTTTAAAGGTGGGCCTTGCTCACCCCCACCCTGTTCTCTTTCCTCTTCTCTCTGCCACTTCTGCCACTAGAGGCCACTCTCCCCTCCCTGTTTTTTCCATTCCCTTACATCTCCCTCCCCGCAATAAAAATTCCTCCATGTCACATGGTATCTTTGTCTCGCATGCCGTTTTTTAAGTCACAACATTCAGCATGCCTTTCGCTGACCAAACCATCTCCCACCTCCATACTCCATTCTGAAAGCCAAAAGCTGTTATGACAAAAGATAGAAACGACAATGCATTGGGCACACAGGAGTTATTTGTGAAATAAAAATGAAAACACAATTTGGGAAGAAGCAAGGTTAGGCGACTGATTCCACGTTAGCTGAAAGTTCTCTCCACGGCTTTATCTGCCGTTAACTCCGTGTGAATTTCTATCTGCTGCTCAGTCGGAGGAAGCATGAAACCTTTAGTAGTTGAGGCCACCCAGTGGGCACCAGAATCTATGAGGCCCCTAGGAACAGTGCTGCTCTCTGCCACCGTGCCTGCCTGTCTTAGCCCTGCAGGAAAATCCAGCAGGAGACCAGCTGTTTGTTCCCAGGGATCTGAAGGCAGTACAGATATTCACCCTAGACTTCTTAAATGCCTAAAAACAGCGCATTTCTTCCCCTCCTCCAGTACATCCTCCCATATGATGTAAGCACCGGGGAAAGGAAGGTTTGATCACCAGAGGTCCCTCGTCACAGTGGTTTTGGATCAACTATTCACTGCACAAACTTTCGCTCACATGTGTACTCTGCTACAGCATCCCAACCACTCTGGTCCAGGATAAAGGGGGGTGGTCATGCCTGCAAACACTTGCATTTATGTGCTACAAAAGAAGGCATTTAAAGTTGAGCACTGCCTACTTAGAGCCAAACTGACCAGATACAAAAGAAAATGTGAGGCCCAAACAGTGCCTCCCACCATCCAATCACACACTCTTAGGCTGTTTCTCCAACAAGAAGTCAGATCGTGTGTGCGCACGTGAGACTTGTGGACATGTGTGTATGCATGCCTTATCTTTTATATAGTGATGGATTGTGGTATTTATGAGGAACAAAAGAACAGAAAAATCAGAATAGTATAACGACACTTGGGTGCCCGATAGCATGACGTCATAAGTACTAGACCATTGTCTTTCGATTATTGTCACAAAATTAGCAGTTTCAAAATTATCAATTTCTGAAGTGACATGGTAGGTGCCAACTAAGGAAGCAAATTATTTCCTTTTTGCGTATGTGTGTGTGCATGTTTGTGCCTGTGTGAGCTATAAGGCTACCTCGGCTGCCATTCCTCAGCGGCTGTCTTTATTGCTTTACTAGAGACTTATTGTCTCTCACTGGCCTGGAAATCAACAACTTTGCTAGGCTGACTGTCAGGAAAGCACCGCCCCACCTCTGTTCCCCCCCAATGGTGATCCACCTAGCTCCGCCTCCCCAGCATTGTTAGCCCCCCCCCCAGTGATCCACCTAACTCTGCCTCCTCAGCTTTGTGAACCCCTCGCCTTGACTGTCCCCCCCCAGCTATTTACCTAACTCTGCCTCCTCAGTATTGTGAGCCCCTCCCCCTACCCCCTCCACTATCCACCTAGCTCTGCCTCCCCTGCATTGTGACCACTGCCATTGGCTTGGCCCTTTGTCATCATGACATCTAATGCAGTCCCCATGCTACAAGGCAGGGACCTGAATGACTGAGCTATCTCTCCAGTCCATTTTTTTCTCCTAATGCAGCCCACACTGAGAAAGCCTTTGACAGGCCCAAAACATGTTTTATTGTGATTAATTGAAATGGAAGATACCATGTAAATTGAAATACCTTCCCAAAAGTTAAATTTGATGAAGTCAGGTTAGTTTTCTATGTAAACCATTAATGTGCCCATTACAAATTAGCATACAAGCAGACTCATGTCCACAGCACCATGTTAACTGAGCTTCGAGCGGGTGGGAACCCATCCATGCCTTCGTCAGTGTAGTTTGCTGTACTGGTATCAGATCTAGTGTATTTTGTTTAGCCTGATGTTGTGTGTGTATTTCAGTTGGAACCAGTTGTGTGCCGTGGTTGTATGCAGCAACATGCATGTATGAAAATGAGAACAGACTCCTTTATGTATCACTGGATGAGTTATTTGTGGGTGATTGTTAGCATTCAAAAATGTGCTATGTTCTCTTAACTCTCTCTCCTCTCCTTCCGCCAGGGCCTGAGTCACCTGCACCAGCACAAAGTGATTCACCGAGATATTAAAGGGCAGAATGTCTTACTGACTGAAAATGCAGAAGTTAAGCTAGGTACGCACAGCCTCCCATGAGCTGTGGCCCTGCGGAGTCGATCGCCATCAACAGTCCTTTTAGAACATTAAATCTGTCACTGTGGACGTGGGGGCGTTTCCCCAAACAGGAAAGGAAAATGTTCTCTTTGCATTCTCACAAAGCGTTTCCCCACTCATCCTGAAGAATGATTTGTGGGGTGATTGGAACCCTATGCTTAGACACCGTGTAGAGTACGTGGAGGGCCCCAACACCCCATACATCTCACAGTCTAAGTCCCTGCTGCTGTGACAGGGGTGGCTCCAGGTTTCAGGTGTTTTCTGTTGTTTTGTTTCATCAAAAATATTCACATCAAGTCCTGCTAACTTCCTTGACACTTGAGTTATTTTTAAATTCATTTTATAGTTTCCCATGGCATCTGTACAAAGGGGATTCTCAAGAGTCCATTTCCGGTGCACCCTGATCACCCCACTGGAGTTGGTGATGGGGAAACCCTGTTCTTCAGCTTGTCAGAACCTGTCCTAGTTCCATCTCTACCACTGTGTCCTGAGTGAAAGGCAGCTTAGCAGAGGAAGGGCTACATTTACCCTTGCTCTGCTTGGCTCGCATTTCCAGGGTACTATCCAGCACTGGGGGAAAGGCCAGGCAGCGAGAACTTGGTGCACATAGTCGCACCGCACTCACAGCCAGGAGCAGTAAATGCACACACACACTTTCTCCACTTGGAGACAGCCCATGACCCAGATCAAGAGAATGGAGCACTCACAGTGGGTTGGGTCCTCCTGCAGACCAACCCCATCTAGACAAACTCTCAGAGACTCTCTTCCTGAGGTGGTTCCAAACTGAACCAGGATGACAGCTAAAAGCATTCTAGAGTCCTTCACAAAATAAAATCTGCACTTGCTCTCATTTTATTATCTCCAAGGAGTTTGCTAGTCATAGGTGTATTTCCAAAGAGATATGAGCATTTGCCCTTCCCTTTGGTTAAAATATATAATTTCCCATTTTATTGGCAATTGGAGTCAAGGGTTCATCACATGAACACTTTTCAAAACAATAGCATACACTGTGCAGGCTAAATAGATGCATTCATAGAGACTAGGTGATCGAGCCTCGGGGGATGTCCTGATGCTACTAACAAGCACTTTTTACAAATATAATGTTTGCCACATCTCTCAAGAGGCACTTCGATTATCTCCTGTAAACAGGGTCATTCCACGTTGCCATCTTCATCTTTGCATTGTGGATTTGTAAAACCTAACATAGGGGTGATTTGCTTACTAGTCGCACTGCTAAACAGCGGCAGGAATGGTCTGGAAACTTGACAGACTGACACTAGCCCTTAGGACTCAATTACAGTTTTGTGTTACCCTTTGTGAACCCCTGACTTTTTGGTCTCAATGGAGTCTTGGTATAATCAAATACAGCAATTCATGATTTCCTCGCTGGTGTATTTATCCACTCAACCATGCGTTTTAAGGGTATATATTCACAGTATAGAAATGGTGGAAGGGACCAAAGGCCCATTAAAAAGGAAGAAAACTGTAACATACACTACAACCTGCGTGAGCTTTCAGGACATTGTGTTAAGAGAAATAAGATGCGTTCTGTGGGATTTCACTCATTTATTGGAATAGCCAGTGTCCTAGAGACATGGGCAGGAGGACTGGGTGAAGTAGGGGTCATAGGTTGTTATTGCTCAATGGCATAGAATCTCATTGGTGGAGGATGAAAATGTTCTGAGGGATGAAGGGTGATGATTTTAAGAGCTTTTCTGTCCCAGAAAATGTGCGTGAGAAGTGGTTCAAATCTATCCTAATCAGATTTCTATGGCTGTACTATCACACTATGACCGAAAGCATCTTGGGTAAGGCAAGGGTGTATTTCAGCCCACAAGTCTCTGGTCACAGTCCATCAGTGAGCCAAGTCGAAAGCAGGAACTCAAGGCAGGAGCTAGGAGACAGGAGTTGGAGCAGCAGCCTTGGAGGAGAGCTGCACACTGGCTTGCTCCGTGCTACCTGCTCAGTTTCCTTTCTTATCTTCCCCTTGCCCAGGGATGACTCCACCCACATGGGCTAGGCCCTCCCATATCAACCATCTATCATGAAAATGCCCTACAGATTTGCCTACATGCAACCTGATGGGGACATTTTCTCAGCTGTGGTTCCTCTCCATATATTATGCCAACCTGACCAAATAAATCAATCTAAAATCCTAACTTTTTGTCATATATATCTTATACACGAGGAATGCATATCCATTTTATTCTCACATACAGCCTGAGCTCCTAATCTAGTCAACTGTGCTCTCTTCAATAGTGGACTTCGGAGTGAGTGCCCAGCTTGACCGAACAGTGGGCAGGAGGAACACATTCATTGGGACCCCCTACTGGATGGCACCAGAAGTCATTGCCTGTGATGAGAACCCAGATGCCACGTATGATTTCAAGGTATGGTTTCTTCAGTGTGCTGTGAAGCCATGTCTGAACCCTTGTCCAATTTTGCGAGGGATAACGCTCACAGGCATTTGTGTTTGTGATTTATGTGACACAATGGGAGAACTAGAAAACATTATTTGGACTAAGATTGTAAGACACTCAAATAAGAATTGTTTAATGGACTCACCCATGATATTTGATTACCCATTTATAAAATGATATTGAAATTATTTCCTATGCTTTTAAATTTGCTTTTCTATCTTTTTCTTGGGAAATAGATAAGGTTTATGTTTGGGGTTATATTTTAATTTTAGCAAAGTATATATTATTACCCTTTTTCATCTATTAATTCTTTAGATTCAATTTTTTACTGATACATAAAACATTCCGATTGTACATATGAAAGGAGTCCCATGTAATATTTTCATATGTGCACAGAGGCACAATGTTTAAATCAGGATAAATATATTCATCTGCTAAAGAATCCTATTTTAAGGTAAACAAATCTCAGAGGGCCCAAAGTAGTTGCTCAGTTGGTAAAGTTTTTGCCTCACAAGCATAAAAACCCAAGTCAGTCTTCCAGAACCCACATAAAAAACCAGCCATGGCGATGCAGGTTTGTAATCCTAGGCCTCACAGGCTGGTCAGCCAACCTAGCCATACTGGAAAGGTCCAAACCAGTGACTGGCCCTGTCTCAAGAATCAAGGCTCCTGAAAAGTGATACCCAAGGTTGACTCCTGGCCTCCCCATGCACAAGCACCCAGGTGCAACAGACATACACCTGCACACACATGCTCACTCACAAACATTTGAGAACTCTTTCTTCTAGCTTTTTGATCCTGGCAGCACACTATTGTAATTACACTTGCCTACCACACAATAGCACACAGGAACTCCATGCTCCTAGCCAACTAAAGCACAGCACATGTTAAACCATAATATGAATATTGGGGGCATCTTCTTGTAGTTACAAGACATCAGGTTGTTCATTTCCACAGTGCTAACCTTAGGTACACAGACGTTTCTTCTCTGTAGGAGAATAAAGAGGGATGTAGGATGCTTTGGTTTTCCTCTAGTGTGGCATGGCATTTCACAGAAATCTGATGTATTCCTTGTTACTTTCATTATAGACTGGAAGCATGCCACTAACATTCAACATTCAGGCCACGTTCAGTAGTGTTCTCCTGGCAGCTCTCCTTGACTCAGTTCCTCTAGCCAATGATCTGACAAGCGTCACAGTTACAAGTCCCTCGAGAGCTACAGTGCCTGATGACATTGCTTTTGTATACATCCCTGTTAAGAGAAAGTGAAACTGTGGACAATGAGAACTAGAGCAACTGTAAAGTTCTCAGGCCATGCACAGGCAGAGACACTGTGTGGGCAAAAATAAAATACTATTTGGGGTTGGTTTGGAAGTCCAAGGACTTTCCCTCAAGACCAGTAATGAGGGCAGACCTTCACAGGTACACACCCAGTGGGTGATATTCTCTGAACTTTAGCTTGAACATGGGTCTCCCAACTCTTCATTTAGCTCTCTGTGGTCACTTGTCCCACCCTACAAAGAAGAGTCTCGTGTGGTTTCGATGTGTCGTTTGTTATCTAGATTGGTTATCATTTGATTTGTCTGATTTGCCTTCTAAAGTGGATTTATTTTTTTTAAAAAAAGTGTTAAATCATCATCATAAGGGTTCTTTGGGAAAGAATCCTCAGGGCTCTTTGTTCCTGCAGTGTGGTCTAAGGAAACAGGTACTGGGTACATATATTAATTTCATAGTTCCCATACCGAGAGTATATCTCAGGAATTTCTCTGTTAAAGTCCGTGTGCTTTTCCACATCTGGTTATGTTAAAATCAGGCGACAGCAATGAAGGCAGTACAGTCCTTGAGACCCAGTGTCTCTGAGCACTGGCGGAATCATTCACCTCTTTAGAGAAGTGTAAGCTTGGAAGTCTTGAAAACATAAAAATCCCCTCCTTCCTTCAAAGTTTGTCCCTCTGATAACCTGGCATCAGTCTGTCTGAGAGCAACTGCCACATTAAAAATTAATCCCCTGATAAAATAAATGTCACCTATTTAAACTGCTAATGATCGGCACATTTAAATAGTCCCATCTGCAAATCTGCCAGAGAATCCGCTACAAAATATATATTCCAGACGAGCTATGCATATTTTAATTGGCTGTAAACAATTCTTCAGACTGTAGTTATGTGTGACAAGTGCTACCCAGGTCTACATCTATGCCACAAACCGCTTTCAAAATATAGCAGGAGTGAGCTGGAGGGGTGGCCCAGAGGCTAAGAGCACTTGTGACTCTCACAGATGATCTGAGGGTTCGAATCTGAGCACTGATGTGGTAGATCACAACCATCTATAACTGCAGTTCCAGGGGATCTGGTGCCCTCTTCTGACCTCCAGTGGCACCATGTACACGCACGGTGCACAACACAGTCACCATGTGCATGTGTGGTACACAGACACACTTGCAGAAAAATACCCAAATACGTAAAGTAAATAAATCTAAATTTTAAAATAAGACAAATTATACCAAGAAGAAGCGGAGTGTCTAGATTTTCATTCCTGTCTTAATCTTTTAAGTGTCGGAGTGGGCCATATTATGTGCTGTGTGTATTCTCTGTAGCATAGATAAGACCCTCGTAACTGACTTGTTTTTAGGAGAGAAACTAGAATAGCTTTTCCTTTTGGCCAACCCAAAGCTTGGGATGCAGTTCAATCCTGGATGTTTTTATCAGATTATTGCTAAGAAATATTGTATAGAACCGATGAGATTCCAATATGAAAAGAATATTTAAAAATCCATAATTTAAAAAAAAACCCTCACAGAGGAAATAGGTTCAACTGTGTCACTCATGTAGGCTGCAGTGTGAACTTGTTCATCAAGATTGTCATGCATGCAATTGTTCACAAGGAAGAAAACTCCATGCCTCGTGTATGAACTTTGCTGGTCGCCAGTCATGGGGAGAAGTGACTTGTCTGACATGTGAATGAAGAACAGAAAGCAGAAAGGATTCTGGGGAATCATAGGGATTTGTTTTGACTACTCTGTAATTCTACTCTGAACCAGAAAGGATGGGAGCTCTTAGAACCTGGCACTGTATCCTACCGTGTTTTCTGCTCAGAGTGCCCAGGAATGTGATCTGCCACCAGGGGATGACCTGACAACAAGCTGACTTTGAGAGTATTGAACCTGGCACTGTATCCTACCGTGTTTTCTGCTCAGAGTGCCCAGGAATGTGATCTGCCACCAGGGGATGACTTGACAACAAGCTGACTTTGAGAGTATTTTTTCAGTCACTCTATTTATGCTTACTGAACTCACACCGTGTGTGTGCATTTGTGTGTGTGTGTGTGCGTGTGTGTGATTAGATGAGCTCTCTGCATAAGCCATTTCTTACTAGAGACCTATAAAATTCGAGGATTTGGTCTATGTAGGGAATAGTCCATTTGAGACAACAGGAGTCCTAGCCTTGGCAATGACCTCAACATGTTGGGCTCTCATGTAGGTTAAATGTCTGCTCCCAACATTTCAAGGTGACATGTATCGAATAAAAGATGCTTCGAATAGCACTAGACTCTGTAAGCTTCACCAAGACAGCTCTGGCTTTAAAATGAAAGTGAAATGGAGACTAGAGTTTAGTTTTGTTGAGGGATTTATCATTTACTATTATTGATTGTTATTTGATTTATTTTGAGATGCTTTTAAAAACTGGTAGATGTTTCTATTTGCTCAATTTTTTTTAAAGATTTCTTTTTAATGATGTGTATACATGGGTATGTGGGTATGTGCACATAATTGCATATGCCTTTGGAGGCCAGAAGATGCTGCCAAATTCCTTGGAGCTAGAGTTACAGGTGGTTGTGAGCTAATAATGTGGGTACCGAGCACTGAAGCCAGGTTGTCTAGAAAGCAGTTTATACTCATGACTACTGAGCCTCCCGAGCCATCTCTCCAGTCCCTGAAGTTTCTTTTTTTTTTTTTTGCAAGTTCTAAAATTCATTTTTATTTTTATTTTATTTTTTTTATTGAGAAAAGAAAAAAAACAAATTTCCTCCCCCTCCCAGCCTCCCATTTGCCTCCCCCTCCTCCCACCCTTCTCCCCCTCCTCCCACCCTTCTCCCCCTCCCCCCACTCCTCTCCCTCTCCCTCTCCAGCCCAAAGAGCAGTCAGATTTCCCTGCCCTGTGGTAAGTCCTAGGTCCTCTCTCCTCCGTCCATTTCTAGGAAGGTGAACATCCAAACTGGCTAGGCTCCCACAATGCCAGCACATTACGTAGGTTCAAAACCCCGTGCCATTGTCCTTGGGTTCTCATAAGGGCAACATTGAATAAATGGGACCTACTAAAACTGAGAAGCTTCTGTAAAGCAAAGGACACTGTCACCAAGACAAAAAGGCAACCTACTGACTGGGAGAAGATCTTCACCAACCCCGCAACAGACAAAGGTCTGATCTCCAAAATATATAGAGAACTCAGGAAACTAGACTTTAAAATGCTAATTAACCCAATTAAAAAATGGGGCACTGAACTGAACAGAGAATTCTCAGCAGAGGAAGTTCAAATGGCCAAAAGACACTTAAGGTCATGCTCAACCTCCTTAGCAATCAGGGAAATGCAAATCAAAACAACTTTGAGATATCATCTTACACCTGTCAGAATGGCTAAAATAAAAAACTCCAATGATAGCCTTTGCTGGAGAGGCTGTGGAGGAAGGGGTACCCTCATCCATTGCTGGTGGGAATGCAATCTTTTGCAACCACTTTGGAAATCGGTGTTTCGGTTTCTCAGGAAATTCGGGATCAACTTACCCCTGGACCCAGCAATACCACTCCTGGGAATATACCCAAGAGATGCCCTATCATATGACAAGAGCATTTGTTCAACTATGTTCATAGCAGTATTATTTGTAATAGCCAGAACCTGGAAACAACCTAGATGCCCTTCAATGGAAGAATGGATGAAGAAAGTGTGGAATATCTACACATTAGAGTACTATGC